TTTCTAGAAGTTTTCAGTCTATTGTGTCTTAGCTTTTAGCACATTGGAGCCTCACAAAACTGGATGAATAAGAGACTGGGGTTGTGGTTCAGTGGTAGAGTGCCTGCCTAGCACATGTGAACGTCTCTTATTTTGCACATGTGAATGAACTGGGTTCAGTCCTCAGCACCACATAAAAATAAATAAAGATATTGAGTCCACATATAGTAAAAAAATATTTTTAAAAAAACTGGGTGAATAAGTACTATGTAACTTATGTCATTCTGTACATGAGCAAAGGGGCTCAGTGAGGTTCGGTGACTTGCCTCAGAGGGTGTGGATTCAAAGGCAGGTGTTCCAGTTTCTAATGCTAGTACTCTTTCCATTTCTTTTTTTTTTTTTTTTTCCTTTATTTTTATGTAGTGCTGAGGATTGAACCCAGTGCCTTACATGTGCAAGGCAAGCGCTTTGCCACGGAGCCACAGTCCGGCCCTCTCTTTCCACTTCTTTATATCTGTTTTAGGTCTGCACACACTTGTCTAGTCTACCTCCAGGTCACTGGGTTTCGTATACCTATGTGGCAAGTTGGAGTCAGCTCCAACTGGGAAAAACCTGATATGTCTACAACTTGCCAACACCCACAGCCTTCATGCTGGTGGTACTAGAGCAGTACATAAGCTCAGTCAATTCTGAACAGTTTGCATGATAGTGAACTTATGAAAATGTAGAAAGGTTCTTCTATTCACCAGTTACATGGACACCCCATATTTGTCCTTCTAGAAGAAAAATGTCTATTTCTGTCAATGGATCTATAGGGCAAAGACCTCAGTCTGCAAACCAGCCCAGGTGTTAAGAACAGTTGCAAACATAGATAGCCCCTGGTACCATTCACCTTCCCTATGCCGCTGTGCCTTCAGGCCTTCTAGAACATAACAGCACAGCCGTATGTCTAAAAATAGGAGAGAATAAGTGGGGTCTGCCTGTTCTGGTAGGAGAAAAGAACGTCAAAGAAAGCAGCTGGGACTAATGAACTCTCCATTAGCCGTATTCCATTCTTTGAACCTGAGTCAAATGTCGGTCCCCATTAGGCAATTGGCTTTGACAAGAGCTGTGCTAATTACCACTTAGCAACCTTTAATTTCTGGGTAAAAGCAAGAGGAAAAAAACTAATGGATTTTTCATTTTCCAGAGAGAAAGGAATAAAATAATAGTAGTCTATTTAAAAAAAAAACTGTTAATTACAAGAATTATTAATGTGCCTTTACTCACCAGATTGTTTATCTGCTTAATTTCCTAATTAGCTGTTCAATTCATTTTCCTTTAGTTTGTCTCTCGCTTGCTTTATTTTATTTTTTATTTTTTTGTAGACTGAGCTACATCCCCAGTCTTTCTTTTTTTTTTCCACTTTAATTTTGAGACAGGGTCTTGCTATTATTGAAGATCTCGAAAAATCGCTGAGGTTGGCCTGAAATACTTTGCTGTCAGCCCTGAAAGTTGAATGCTATGAAGGAGTTCTGCAAGATGCTCATCAACTCAGTTCTTTCTCAAAAGCTAAGGATCTATTCTGGTGCCAAATACCAGAAATAACAAGTGGTGAATTTGAAGCTGTTTAGTGCCTGATGACCCAGGACTTGCACTGAACTACAGAAAGGTAGCTTTAAGAGAAGCCTGCCAAAAACCTGATGGAAGGAAATCACCATTTAGCCTTAATTTATTAATCATGAGCTTTTAAATCTAGTTTTAACATTCAGTCCATGCCAGCAAACATTTTATGAAGTTCCCTGTACTTGTTGGATTTCTTGGTGGTATCACTAGTGAAATCTCATTATTCTCAGATACTTAGTTAAAAGGTACAAATACAAGGCACAGTGGCTCCCTCCTATAATCCCATCAATTTAGGAGGCTGAGGCAGGAGGGCAGAAGTTTGAGGGCAGCCTTAAGCAATTTAACAAGGCTCTGAGCAACTTAATAATACTTTCTCAAAATAAAAATTAGAAGGGCTGAGGATGTAGCTCAGAGGTAAAATGCCCCTGGGTTCAATCCCCGGTACCAAAAAGCAATAAAAATAAAAATATAAAGAGCTGGGCATGGTGGTGCATGTCAATAATCTCAGCTGCTCAGGAGGCTGAGACAGGAGGATTGTGAGTTCAAAGCCAGCCTCAGCAAAAGCGAGGTGCTAAGCAACTCAGTGAGACCCTATCTCTATATAAAATACAAAACAGAGCTGGAGATGTGGTTCAGTGAGCCAATGCCCAAGTTTAATCCCTGGTACCTAAGTAAATAAATGAAAAAGAGCTAGAAAATATATTTTTTAAAAAAACCCAGTCTTAAGGATTGTGCAGCAGAGAGGACCCCATTTAAAACTGAAAAAACAAAAAGTCTGTTTTGGTTTAGAAAAATCTTGAGACAAAGTTTTGGAGGTTAACTGGCCTTTGAGACAAGCGTCCTCCACCAGTGCACTGACCCAATTACGGCTCTCTTGAAGCTGCTGTGTTTGGAAATGTGGATGCTATTAAGTCTCTTCCATCACATTAGACTTTATTCAACTAGTAATTATGAATATGAGCTCAGCTCTGTGGAAAACAGAATGGAATGGTCAGCAGCCATACTTGGAGAGTCTGCTCCCTGGTGTCTAGAGAACAGGATAATATTCCAGTGTCCTCCAGCCAAGCTTGGCTGGTTTTCCCAGTGTTAGGCTGCAGAAACTTTATAAACTCAGGGTGTGGATCTCTAAGCTTTAAAGTTTAGCATCTGGGGATTTGAGCCCAATCTCCCAGCCCCCACAAGACCCCATTGCATGCCTCCCCCACCTGCTGCTGTGCCATTCTTGAATAATCTGTCATACAGTTTGGCTTCTGAACCTTCAAATTGGATGTTTCCTTAGAGTCTATGTCTCAAGAGTTATAAACAACATGTGTCATCAAGTGAGGATTTAAGTGCTATTAAGGAGAATTAACATGTGAAAGGGCTTTGCAACCCAGAGACTTATTTATTAGGAGATCCTGCTCAATGAGGATGTTACATCACAGAAAACAGAATTCTACCTCATTTAATCATCATTCCCTGAAAACCACTGAGGAATGGGTAAACCAGTCTGACAAATATTCAAAAAATATGTATTAGTCACTGAACAAAGCCTATACACAAGATGGTGGAGGTCCTAGTCTTATAAATTCAGGCACCAGAACTAGGTGTGGTGGCCACGCCTGTCATCCCAGGCCAGCCTCAGCAATTTAGCAAGATTCTGTCTCAAAATGAAAAATAAAAAGGACTGAGGATGTAACTCCTGGGTTCAATCCCCAATTAAAAAAAAGAAAGAAAGGAAAAAATAAGTTGAGGCACCAGGCAATAGACTGGGCAGCAGCGCAGCTTGGTGCATCTGGTTTGAAATAATATTTTTATAAGTAGACATCTTTCCTCACAAAGCAAAACTGAAGCTATAATCCATGGAAAGAATTGTAACAAATTAATATTAAGTCACTAATTAAAACTGGTACATAACAGCAAATTTGAATTTAACTTTTATAAGCATGTCAGCATGATGTCTATTTAATAGCATAACATTTGTTTAAAAATTAATTTTAGCTAAAACATGAGGAATAATCATTTTGCTCTTTGAACACATGTTAAAAATTTGCTTGTAAAGTTTGCAGTGCTGGGATGGAACCCAGGGCTTTTTTCATGCTAAATAAGCACTTTACCATTGAGCTACATCCCCAGTCCCAGAAACATTGTTTTAAATTAGACAATTCATATCAAAATAAACTGAAATAAGATGCTATTCTAAACTCTTAAATGTGCAGCCTTTAACTTTTAAATTCAAAGGAAGACTGTCAAGCACCAGAATGAAGGTGGGAAGAAAAGTGGGAAGAAGGTGGGAACCTAGTTCAGCAAGAACCACCAGAAAGTGTGTGTGTATTACTAGGAATGAAACCCAGGTCCTTGAATGTGCTAGGCAAGTGCTGTGCCACTGAGTTGCATCCCCCAGACATTGATTTTATTTTTTAAATTTTGAGACAGGGTCTCACCAAATTGCCCAGGATGGCCTTGAACTTTCAATTCTCCTGCATCAGCCTACCAAGTCGCTGAAGATTACAGGTGTGGGCAACTGAATCTGGCAAGAACCACCAAGATCTTTATCACCCAGCCAGGCATGGTGGCACATACCTGTGATCCCAGAGTCTCCTGAGGCTGCGGCAGGAGCATCCAGAGTTGTCTAAATCAAATCTATAAGATTTGATTTAGTTGTCTCTAAATCAAATCTATAAGAAAAGGCTGGGATGTGGCTCAGTGGTTAAGAGCCCCTGCATTGGATCTCAAAAAAAAAAAAAAAAAAAAAAAGTATTCACCCAGGGGGTGGGAAATGGGGGCAAGTGCTGGAGAGTGAGATTAGCCAAATTATATTGTTACATTGTAAACCTTCAAATATATAACAATTAATCCCATCATTATGTACAATTATAATGCAACCATAAAAAATGTGGAAAACATTTTTAAAAATGTGGAAAACATTTTTAAAAATGTTCACTTGGGCCAGACTGCAAGGAAAGTCAGGAGGCCATTTTTCTTTATTTCTGCCCCTTCCTGTATATGCTTTTAAAAAGAAGCAGATGACAAGAAAGAAAAATCTACCATCTGGCACACCTATAATCCCAGCAACTAGGGAGGCTGAGAAAGGAGGATCATAAGAGTGAGGCTAGTCACAGCAACTTAATGAGTTCCATTATCAAAATAAAATTTTTAAAAAGGCTGGGGATGTAGCTCAGTTGGTAGAATGCCAAAGTTGAATCCCCAGCAACACTTACCCATACAGTATTCAATTGGGTTCCCAATTACTGCTTTAAATACTTTCAGTATTGGGTATCATTGAAATTTTCTTTTTCTAAATTTTGAGACAAGGTCATGCCAAGACGCACAGGCTTACCTCCCACTTGCTATTTTTCTGTCTAAGCTTCCCAAGAAGCTGAAAAATCTTTTTGAATAAAGCGGGAAGAAGAAACTGCCTCACAAAGAAAGAACCCTGCTGCTTAATACACTTTATTTGGGTCCATCATTACACTTTACATAAGTAAGTAGTCCTGGGTGGTTCATTTGCAGGAGGAGAAGGTCTTCCAGAAGAAGTTCTTGCAGGGCGTTTTATCTTGGCGACGGGGCTGCTGAAGGGGTGGGCCTTCCTGCCGTTTGGAAACCTCACTGGCATGCCCTCCAGTAAGGGCTCCAGGACTGGCCTGAGAAGTCCACTCATGCCACCAAGCAAGGAAAGTCAGGAGGCCATTTTTCTTTATTTCTGCCACTTCTTGCATATGCTTTCAAAGAGAAGCAGATGACAAAAGAAAAATCAACCATCAGGTTCAGTGGCATTAAAGGGTATGTGAATTCTCACTTTAAAAAAAAAAGAAAGAAAAGATGCTCCTTAACAAAAATCACATTTGTATTCAAAGGGTGAGAAAGTCATCTCCTAGCAGGCACAGAGCCCTGGGTTCTAGCACTACAAAGAAATAAAATAAAGGATGAGAAAGTTAAGAGAATACCTTTAAAAAATTGCTCTAATTAGAGGAAAGTCAATAATTGTCAGACAAGGAAAAAAACCTGCTAGTTCTGCCCCATAATCTTTGCTGAGGTGCTTAATTAGAGGGGTGGGGAAATCTGTCACCACAACCTCCCTAACACCTCCCAGACAAATGACTGGCAACTAGGAAGCCTGAGGTGAATCAGGCTAATTTAGTTTGTCCCACCTTGGGGCATCTTTCTCTGATACAGATCAGATTGAGATGCTAAATTGTGGTCTCTTATTTATTTATTATTTTGAGGGGCAGTACTAGGGATTGAAACAGTGCCTTTCACTTAAGAGGCAAGTGCTCTACCACTAAGCTTCACCCACAGCCTGACCTTTCAAATTCCATTGAAAGCTTCTAAGAGTAATCTGATGATAAATGACCTGTCTGAAACTCATCTGATAATTGTGGAGAAAAATCCATTTTTAATGGTCAACTTTATGAACTCTTCTTGGAACTTTTTCAAAAAGGGAAAAAGAGAAATAAATTACCAATGAAGTTACAAATTCTCATGGTGGAAAATGTAATGATGTCAATTAATCTGAGAATATGGCTACATAAGTAAATGAAGGCTCTAGAAATAGTCTCTAGAATAGGGCAGGAGCCACTCCATGAGTGCAAAGAGATGGCCTGGAGCACTCGCAGCATATCAGACTAGCAGAGGCAGAGCCAGCATAGGAGAGAGGCTCCCCCTGAAATGCCGAGGTCTCTGACAAACTTCCCGGGCTGGAACAAGTGAAGTCATGAGAATCAATAGTCTGAATGGGATAGGGCAGCTGAGGACACTGGAGTTCAGCATTCTGCCCTGCCCTGCGCACACACACTGGGCCATGCAGATGCTGGGAACCCACAGGGCAGCCAAAGTGCTAGGCAAAGAGATACACTGGCAGCAGGCTAGCATGTGGCCAAACAGAGACTGTACTCACCGTGCTGTCCTGGCGGCTGGGGCCACTCTCGAGGGGAAGAGCAGTGGCTGTGGCCCCCCAGAGCAGCAGTAGCAGCATTGCACAGGCCCACGGCCACTTCCCTCCAGCTCTGCTGCCGCCCATCCTTCTTGGCAGCCCTGAAGTCAATGTTTTGTGGATGTGGGTCTCTTCTTTGGAGACTGGGGTATTTTAAGCTCCAGTACCAGCTGTTTTGGCGTCTATACATGTCAATTGAAAACCTGTGGCCCTCTTTCCTCACACACACGCATAAGTGACGCATGAGCTTGAGCAATCAGTACCCACAAAAGCATTTTGGGGATGAATTTAGCCCCTTAATTAAAGCCTCAGGTTTTTTCCTGTGTTTAGGGTGAATTTGCTCTTATTCTGGAATCATGTGTGCTTGTTTCTGAGGAAGTTCTACTTCCTCACAATTATGCCTACAACAAGCAGGAAGCCATGAGAACAAAACCAAGTGATTTAACATAATATACAATTAGCCTTGAATAAAGAGTTTAAAATGTAAAATTTTGCCTATATAGAAGTATGACTGAGGGACTGGGGGTATAACTCAGTGGTAGAACACGTGCTTAGCATGCATAAGGCCTTGGGTTCCTTCCCCAGCATCCACAAGAAGTAAAGTAAGACCGAGTCTGCTATAAGCAATAGAAATCAGAAGCAAGCTAGGTGCAGTGGTGCATGCCTGTAAATCCCAATGGCGCAGGAGGCTGAGACGGGAGGATGGCGAGTTCAAAGCCAGCCTCAGCTAAAATGAGGCACAAAGCAACACAGTGAGTCCCTGTCTCTAAATAAAACACAAAATAGGGCTGGGGATGTGGCTCAGTGGTCAAGTGCCCCTGAATTCAATCCCCAGCATCCCTGCCAAAAAAAAAAAAAAAGAAATCAGAAGCAATGAGGGCTCAGAGTGACACAGTGACAGCACCACTGGCTTCACCCAATTGTGGACGAGGACCACGCCCCAGCATTGCCCTCCACCTAGCAGGCCAGACCCACTGGACCCATGCCAGGCCTTCTCAAACTATCAAGTGAGACCTAAGTGCAGAGAGTGAGGCAGGTGCAGGGAAAAGCCAGGAGCCCTCAGCGATCCAGCAGATGCCCAGGTGATGCAACCGGAGCAGCCAGCACTTTTGTTTTTTTTTTGGTACCAGGGATTGAACCCAGGGTGCTTAACTATGGAGCCACATTCCCAGTCCTTTCTATTTTTTATTCTGACACAGTATGCCACTACATTGCTTAGGGCCGCTCTAAGTTGCTGAGGCTGGCCTTGTGAACCTTGAACTTATGATCCTTCTACCTTAGGAATTGCCTCCCAAATTGCTGGGATTTTTTTTTTTTAAGGAAACAGAAGTGAGAGTGCTTCACATAAAGTCAAATATCATTTCACATTGCGTGGATGTGTCATATGTAAGGCACCTTTCTGTAGGTCACAGACATGTTTGAGAAACTATGTATGCCAACATGTACTTGGCCAGCTCCCAGGACCACCCTGCTCCCAAGGACAACACCAATGCCTGGAAGCAAAGTCCTTCTCTGCCACCTCCTGGCTTCTCTTCAGGGTTGTAGTTTCAGACTCACACAGACAAATGCATGGATCCCTTCACCCAACTGAGACAGCTAAGAGATCTGAAACCCCACCCCAGACCTTCCTGATAGGGCAGCATCCATGGCAGGCTCTCAACTGAAGCAAAGAAACAAGAACTGAAAGCTCTTTCCAGAAGTCAACATGGGCATTTTCAGTTTTTCCGAAGTCCTAATTCACACCCTTTTATTTATTTATTTTTATGTGGTGCTGAGGATCGAACCCAGGGCCTCGAACACTCTATCGCTGAGCCACAACCCCAGCCCAACACCCTTTTAAACAAGGAAAATCTCAATCTTGAATTTGTCATAGTTTGATTTTTTTTTTTTTTAATTCTTTTTGGAGTCCTGGGACTCAAACCCAGGGCCTCACATGTGGTAATAAGCAAGCTCCTACTGAGCCCCACCTCCAGCCCTTGCGCAATTATGGTAACATTCTAGGTAGAACTAGCATGCCCTGATGACCTGCAGTTTTACACTGTACGTTTAGTTCTTTATTTCTATACCAAAATATATATATATTTTTTTTACCTAAAATAATCCCAACAAATTTTTAATTTACCCAGCTGGGCGCAGTGGTACATGGCTATAATCCCAGTCACTTGTGAGGCTACATGGGAGGATTGTGAGTTCGAGGCCAGCCTGGGCAACTTAGTGAGACCCTGTTTCAAAATTAAAAAAAAAAAAAACATTGGGGGGCTGGAGTTGAGGCTCAGCAGTAAATCGCTTGCCTCGCATGTTTGAGGCACTGGGTTCGATCCTCAGCAACACATAAAAATAAATAAACAAAAATAAAGGTATTGTGTTCATCTACAACTAAAAAAAAATTTTGAGGTATTCTTGCAGAGGGAAATTCATGGCAGCTGAGCCATGAATATGATTAGTGTATTCTTATATGATTAGTATACTTTGTAGATTTTATTCAATGAACACATTAAACATTCTGGGCACTTAGCCTGTACAAAGAACTCACTTTGGAGAACAGCAGTGGGCACTGGGGATTGACCTAAAGGTGTTTTCACCACTGAGCTACATCCCCTGCCCTGTACACAGAACACAGAACACAAGCACCCATGCCACCTCCTCCCTGACAGAGCTATAACAACCTGGGGGCATATGAAAGATAAGAAAATTTCTGGGGGGATGAGAAGTGTGCTCTGATAGCTTATCACTGGCTGTTTTCAAGAGGTGGCAAAAGGCAGGTAAGGTGGCAAACAGGTAATCCCAGCAGCTCACGACGCTGAGGCAGGTGAATCTCAAGTTCAAAGCCAGCCTCAGCAACCTAGCATGGCCCTAAACAACTCAACAAGACCCTGTGTCTAAATAAAATACAAAATAGGGCTGGGGAAGTTCAATCCCTGGTACCTCCTCACCACACACACAAAAAAGTCCATATCTTAGGACTTCATAGGGTTCAAGACTACAATCCTGAATTACCACTGAATTAACCTATCTGTAACCTCAGTTTCCTCATATACAAAGTGGAGCTAAAACAATGTCAACTAACCACTTCCTCAAAGTTATGAGGATCAAATGAGACCATATAAGCAACTACCACAAGCAGAACACAAAGCAGGTACTCAATGTGAGGAATTCTCACTAAAACACACATAATCACATACTTCCCTCCCATACCAAGGTGAGCCCTTCACTACAAAATGTTTGCATTCAACACCTTTCTGTCAATAAAACAAAATACTTGAGATAATTAGCTTATAAACAGAAAAGGTTTTACAGAAGGTTGTATATGTCCAGTGACATATACATATTTTATCTCACAGTTTTGGAAGTACCAGTCCATAAATGACTGTTCCCATTGTTAAGGGCCTGTGGCATAGCAGGAGGACTTGGCAGAGTAAAATTGTTTACATTATGAGTCAGTGAGCAAAGAGGAAGGAGCCAGGGTCTCATAATCTGCCTTGAGGCCACACCCCTCAATGACCTAAGGACCTCCTACTAGGCTCCAAAGGCTCAACCAACTCTCAAACAATGTCACCCTGAGGTCAAAGACCAGAAAAGCTCTAAAGGTGGGATAGTCAAGATCCAACCACAGCACTATTGGAAACCCCTGATTAGAGCCACATAACCTACACAAAGGCTTCTGTTCATTAGACCATGGCAGCGAGTATTCACGGGGTACCTATCATGTACTAGGCACCACACAAAGCACTGAGTGACCACTGTTCACCACCTCAAGGCCCACCCTCCTGGACCTCTTAGTCTAATGTTTTATACAAGGACATGTTTCTGAAAAGATGAACAATGGGAACTTTGATGAAAAGGAGCTCAGTTCTGAACTACTACAAAAAACAGGTCTGCTTATCCTAATGGATAGAACTAGGACACAGATTGAAGTTTGAAGATCAAGTCTTCTCTTTACATACAGAAGAAACTTATAAACTTCAAGTCTACTAATGGAAAGAGCTCTGTCCTTAGAGGTGTTCAAGCAGGTGCAGCAGGAATGCTATAGACTGGTTCCTGCATTAGTGGGGAGATGGACTAACCTTCCTCTGAGGTTCTCCAGAGATCTCCTAATTCAGCAAAGGGCATCAGCATGACCCAATGAGCCTTTCATTTTTGGGGTTCCTGGGATTGAACTCAGGGGCACTCAGTCACTGAGCCACATCCCCAGCCCTATTATATTTTATTTAGAGACAGGGTCTCATTGAGTCACTTGGCACCTCACTTTTGCTGAGGCTGGCTTTGAGCTTGCAATACTCCTGCCTCAGCCTCCCAAGCTGCTGGGATTACAGGCATGCGCCACCACGCTTGGCTTGATAAACTTTTCTTAGATATCTAAGTTTTAAGATACCAGCCATCATATAACAAATTAGAATCAAAAAATAAAAATAAAAAAGATATCAGTCAACAAGCTGGGCATAGGGGCTGGGGTTATGGCTCAGTGGTAGAGTGCTTGGAGGCACTGGGTTCAATTCTCAGCACCACATAAAAATAAATAAATAAAATAAAGGTATTGTGTCCATCTACAACTAAAATTATTTTTTTTTTTAAAAAGTGGGCATGGTGGCACACACCTGTAATCCCAGTGACTTGGGAGGCTGAGGCAGAAAGATCACAAATTCAAGGCCAGCCCCAGCTACTTAGTGAGGCCCTGAGCAACTCGGGGAGACTTTGTCTCAAAATAAAAAATAAAAAGGACTGGTGATGTAGTTCAGTGGTTAATCACCCCTGGGTTCAAATCCCTACTATCAAAAAAAAAAAAAAAAAAAGATATCAGCCATCTACAACCTGGTGCAGAGCTTTCTCTGCACAAGGAGATATTTCCAACCCTTCCTGGCTCCTGTTAAAATGTCACTAACAAAAAATTTGCTCAGGATTGTTTATTTCAAGCTTTGTGAGGAATTGGTCTAAGCAGGACAACAACTACCTTAAATGTAAACTGCCTTGTGTTTCCAGGCCACATTTTTTTCAGACATCAGCCTCTTCACATGGTTGGTCTAATGAAAGTTCAGATGAGTTTCCAGGAGCAAGCCCATGAGGAAGTAGCCCCTACGAGTCCTTTTTCACCCTCTGTCACCAAGATAGAATCCTAGAGGATGATCAACATCACCTTGGACCTTCTAGAATAAACTAAACCATAACTGGAATGTGCAGGGAATAGGCAGCTTCAGAGAACATGGGGAGCCAAGTCACTACTTCCTACCAAGTCTGGCCTGCCCCAATGTGGCATCCCTGAAAAATGTGTTGTAAGACCATTTGTCTAAAGTAGAACTAGAACATGAATAAATGTGCCACATAAACCAAAAGACCACACGAATGTCAAGTCAGTTTTCTAATCTGGCTTGAAAATATGTCAAAATACTCCTGCCACACAGTAGGTGTCCTCTACATGCCTCTAATCAGACCAGACATGACTGCACACACAGGCTCACCATTTTCAGTCACATGCAGAATGAGACTCTGCAGCTACAGAAATTTACAAATACACTGTTATAAGAGTCCTACCTATTTCCTTTTATTATCACACACAACCTTGTTATAAGGTATTTTTAACCCTATTTCACTGATAAAAACACAAAGTTTCAGAAAGTAACACAGCTATTAGGGTTGCTGAACCAAGATGCAGACCTAGTTCTATCAATCTTTGGGAAGTACATAGTACCCATACCCTACACTTTTTTTGAGGAGATATTTAAAGACAGTTTATCTGCAAATACAACTTTTCATGCAGATCTTTGGCTGAATGTATGTGAACAATGGAAGGCCTTATGATTCACTTTTCTGTCATTGATGTGACATCCAGATGTTACAATTAACATATGGGCTCAAATGATTGGTTCTTTGCAGAACCTGAAACCATTAAGTGTGAGGTCAGTGCTTGACTCTGACCATAGCCAGCATTTCCCTTGGGTCAGACTGTGGGGGTATCTTCTGCTGCTATTGGAGGCATGGATGGTATAAATTCTACCCAAAGTGCATGCCCTTTTACTCTTTCCCACAAGAGTGTCAACAGCCCTAAATGCAAATTCCATCTCTATTGATAAACAACCTGGTGATCCTGGGCAGCTGGTTAACTGTGCCAAGACTCAGCTTTTCAATAAAAAGGGACAGTCATAAAGTTGTGAAGATCCAAAGAGACAATGTGTTGAGACATTGTGTTGAGAACATTCTGTGTGTGCAATCTCTCTCTCTCTTTTTTTTTTTTAAAGAGAGAGTGAGAGAGAGAGAGAGAGAGAATTTTAATATTTATTTTTTAGTTCTTGGAGGACACAACATCTCTGTTTGTATGTGGTGCTGAGGATCGAACCCACGCCGCACGCATGCCAGGCGAGGGCGCTGCTGCTTGAGCCACATCCCCAGCCCTGTATGTGCAATCTCTATTGCCCCATAAGGGAAAGGCTTGTCCTGGACCTCTAAGAACCCAAAAATATGAAAAGACAGTAGAACTGGTGCCCTTGGCAACATCATCTCTCAAAAACTAAAACGGAGGACAACATCCTGAAATGTTTTGCAGTGGTAGCTCCAGATCTTCCACTTAAGCAAAATTTCTACACAGTAAAACCACAGTTGAATTACAAAATAGCCAGAGAAAAGTCATGTGGACTGTGTTTCTGGAGAAAATTATCTTTAAAAAGCAAAAAGAAGCATTCCAAAACATCATCTTTTTACCTGTGATCACAGTGGCATGGATTTAAAAATACTGATAATCAGACAGCTACATAAGTACAGCTTTATTCATCTTTCAGAGATTGCCTTTTGGCTAAGAAAATTACGTAAAAGAATGAAAAATAACTATGATTTCTGTTTGAAAAAGTCTATCATGCTTACTTGCTCACACAATTTTATTAGCCATAGTGTGTGTAAGTCCCAGGATATACCATTCATACACATGCCTTCTTGTTGTGCTTGAGGAATACACAGGAGTATTTGCTGGACTTTCTGGGTGTCTTTTAAATTAGCTTCTGCAGTTAATGGCTTGGAGAATTCAGCACACAAAGCTGCCTAGCCTCTTTTTCTTTTAAATCTCTACTTATCACTTCAAAATTCTCTTTGAGGCAACAGACACTCCCAGAGGCTCTACCTGCAGAGAGCGGCCTCAGTGGTGGGAGCTCAGTCCTCACTGTCCACTGCTTCAGCTTCTACTGTTTCCCTTGAGCTTTTGTTAACATCCTCTGACTTGTTTTTCTTCTTTGCCTTCCGTTCCAGGTTAAACTGAGCAATCTCATCATTTTTCTCTGTGATGTATTTTAGCTACAAAAAAAAAAAAAAAAAAAAAAAAAAAGTACTTAATCTGCTTGTAAATCATTAAACCAAAAATAACAGCCACACCGTCCCCAACCACTCACATCCAGAGAATTTGGGTAGAAAAGCCTGGGTTACACCTCTTAGAGTTAAAGGCAGCTTCAAAACTTTTTTCTAGAAAAAGGAATCAACTATAAAAATCAACTGAATGCTATCCACGTATCTTCCAAACAGTATATTTCAGTGTAAGAGTTCCTTGAATAATCGAAAGAATTTAAAATGGGAAGTTTGCATGTGGAAGGCCCCAGTTGAAAAAAAAAAATGAAGTTTGTAGAAATTTACTACATAAAGTAAAAGTGGAGGGCCGGGGTGGAGCTCAGTGACAAAGTGTTTGCTTAGCATTCATAAGGCAAAAGGGGTTTCCATCCTCAACACTACAAAAAACAAAGCTCGAATATAATCAACACCCCTTAAATTTATCCAACTAAAGTTTATTGGGCAACTGCTATGTTGCAAGTACTAGGGATACAAGATAAATAAGAAAAGTTCCTCCTGCTCTCGGAGGACTTGGTCTAATGCACAAATTTAGCTATACTCCTCTGTAATAAGGTGTATCAGGTGAAAAAAAAATTAAAAGAGTTCAAAATAAAAACAATATTATGAAGTAAACAAACATACAAGGAGATGACTTCCCAATTAATATTCCTAGATGAGGTGAATGATCATTCCTTTGCAACAGAAATTGATAACTAAAGGAGACCAAATAAATTATAACTGTGCAGAAGTTACAAAGAGAAGAATGTCTGCCCAATGCCACATCCTTAATCTTGACTTAAACTTTGGAGAAAGGATATTAAGAGAGGAGAGTAGAAAAGATAAGGTGAAGAAAACAGCACTGGATTGAGGGCCAGAAGGTTAAGCTTCAGCTTTCAATCACAAAACTTCCTATTTAACTTTGGGGAGTTACTGAACTTCAGTTGCCAAGCCTATAAAGTGGGACTAATAAGATATATTATTAAAAACCCACCCAGGAGGAGTGTGGTGGTGTGTGCCTATAGTTTTAGCTATTCAGAAGGCTGAGGCAGGAGTTTAAGTAAAATACTACACAGATTAATTCATGAACAACTATTTATTGAGCACCTCTTTTGTGGCAGGCACTATTCTAGAAGTAGTGTTAATGGAGCTGAGAACAAAAGCAAAAAAAACCCTGTCCTTGTGGAGACCACATTATTGAGGGCCATCAGTGTATTAATTGCTAGCACTGGACTTAGGACACCTCCTGGTGTCCTGGGTCTGCTATCAGTCACAGCCACTAGCCTGGGATGATCATAGCATCTCTGTGTCTTTACCTGAAAAATGAAAGTTTAGTCAAAATAATTTCTAGACTTGAAAAGATAGAAAATGTCACCAGATGCGGTGGTACATGCCTGTGATCTCAGCTACTTGGGAGGCTGAAGCAGGAAAACTGCAAATTCAAGGCCAGCCTGGGTAACTCAACAAGGTCATAAGCAACTTAGTGAGACCCTGTCTTGAAATAAAAAATAAAGATAGCTCAGTAGTAAACCACTCCTGGCCTGATTTCCCAATACTCCTCCCCACACTGTGCTACCCCACCAAAAGAAAAATGAAAGAAAAAGAAGAGAGAGAAAATGCTTTTTCCTGCACATTCAGCCTCATAGATACTCTTCCACACCTTGCCTGTGAGGAGAACTATGGATACTATAAAGAACCCTCCCCACAGATTAGCCTGTGATCAGTCTCTGACATCATGCTGTAAATGAAACATGGAACCAAAGTTTTGAGAGATTACAAAAAGGGCAAATTATGAAATTCAGAGAGTGCTGATTAAAAAATTTCAAATTGCTTCATAAGATTCATCATCATGAAAGAAAGATCATAAATTTCAGGCAGGTCTGCATAGTTCAACCATCTCTAGTTTTTAATGCAAGGTGCCCTAGGGATTAACTTCATGGCTTCAAGTGATTAATTGGGAATAATGTATTCTGATGGGAAAGGGGAATGAGCAAAGAAATTCATCTCTCACCAGTGAATTACTCCTCCTGGCTAAGAGCTTCACGTCCTCAGTGTTAACTGTGCTTCTTTTTGCATGTCTATGGAAAGGGCAGAAACAAGTCACCAAAATGTTTGCTATTTAAGGTTCTGATGAACTTTAATCCTAACTTCAATCCTAACTCACGGTCAGACTTCAAACTAGCCAGTACCCCTAAGTAATCATCTTGTTAGATAGTGGTCATTGAGCAACAGTAACATTTAAAATGAGTAAGGTTACTAGCAAGACACCAATTAGACCCAAGAAGACCCAGAGAAGGCAGAAACCCAACTGTTCACCTTGCCCAGGGGCCACAGGGGCCAGATATGCAGAAGGAGATGGAGGAGTTAAAAATCCTTCCAAAGTGTCTTGCGTGATCACAGTGAATACCACAGGAAGAGCAAGAAAAATGTCAGTGTACAACTTTAGAGAAAATAAGCCTCAAAATACAAAGAGAGCTTCTGCTTAAATACACATTAAATAGAAGAGCAAGAGAATTTCCATGAAGAGTGGCTTTACTTATAGCAAGATCCCAAAGCTCTTTTCCAAGGGATAAATGACAAGAAAAAGCATATGCAGATGCCTCCCAGCACCTGGGAACTGTTTCTGCCTCGCCTCCACAGCAGCCTCAGCAGAACAAAGAACATCCTTTAAGTTGAAGTCTGTTTCTTGTTCACAGCTTGGACCCAAAGTCTCATTCCAGTCCTCTTATCCTTGCTATGAAAGATAATTTCAGATAATGAGCTCTATTCAATAATTTATTACTCTGATTAATCCTTTCTTGCCATTATTAACTTATGCCCAAAATAAATAAGAACTTTGTAATCAGGAATAAGTAAGAATCAATGTATCCTTAATAACTAGCAAAGTGGTCAGCACATATTAGTCCTCACTGAATAACTGCTGAGTTAAAGATAAAATCACACAGAAATTATCTCCCGCTAAATGTACTGTATCACATGTCATTTCATCATGAATGACAATATCTGCTTGTCATGAGATAATACCCGTTTTAAGAGGGAACTTCTAGCTGAATGCAGTGGCGAACACATACAATCCTAAGTACCTAGGAGGCCAAGGCAAGAGGCCAGCCTAGACACAACCAGACCTTGACTCCAAACAAAATTTTAAAAGAGCTGGGGATGTAACTCAGTGGTAGAATGTCCTGGGTTCAATCCCCAGTACATAGGAGGCGGGGAGATAAGTGCTAATCAACAACCTGCAAGGAGCAGGACAAACAGAAGGAGATATAAAAAGGCAGCCACAAAGTATGAGGCCTGACTACAGACAGCCTCACTGGAGTACCAAGTACACAGTAGGGCCCAGTCTTAGTCACACCATTGGACCCCTCTTATCTGTGTTTACTTAAAGTGCAATGAAAGAAATAAGTGATGGGGCTGGGGTGGTGGCTTAGTGGTAGAGTGGGGTGGTGGCTTAGTGGTAGAGTGCTTGCCTAGCATGCATGAGGCACTGGGTTCGATCCTCAGCACCACATAAAAACAAACTAATATATCCACCTAAAAAAACTAAAGATATATAAATAAATAAATATTAAAAAAAAAAAAAAAAGAAATAAGTGAAAGGAATATGCACACCATTCTACAGAGTGACCTTATCTATTCACAAGGAAGTTCTGGGGAAACAACAAACTCAATCCTAACTCTTGGTGTGGTGTCTGGTATTTGCACCAGATTTTAAAGTTAATTCTCTCCTACATGGAGGAACAGGTAAATCCCACACCAACCACGAAACATCAGACTCTCCTAAAACAAACCTCTGACTCCCGAAAATTGCTCCAGGGAAAATAACAGCAATTTTTCTTTCCTTTCTTTTCTTTCCCTTTTGCAGTATTGGGGGTGAAACCCAGGGCCTCAAGCATGCTAGGAAAGTGCTCTACCACTGACCTAAACCCCCAGCCCAGCAATCTTTCATATAATACTCTAAGCAACACAGGTTCATGTTCTAAAAACTATTTCAAAAAGATTCCCAGAATTTATTTACTATAGAATATCTACCTTAAAAGTTTTGAATGTGAACATATTAACAATATGAGAAGGGCTGGGGATGTGGCTCAAGCGGTAGCGTGCTCACCTGACATGCGTGCGGCCCGGGTTCCATCCTCAGCACCACATACAAACAAAGATGTTGTGTCTGCCGAGAACTAAAAAATAAATATTAAAATTTTCTCTCTCTCTCTCCCTCTCTCACTCTGAATTTTTTTTTTTAGAAAGAGAGAGAGAGAGAGAGAGAGAGAGAGAGAATTTTTTAATATTTATTTTTCAGTTATTGGCGGACATAACATCTCTGTATGTGGTGCTGAGAATTGAACCCGGGCTGCACGCATGCCAGGCGAGCGCGCTACCGCTTAAGCCACATCCCCAACCCTCTCACTCTGTCTTAAAAAAAAAAAAAAAAAAACAATATGAGAAGACTAAAAATTCCAAACTAAATAAAGGAAACTTACAATGTAAACTGGGAAACGGTTTTGCCAAGCTTGCAGGTAAATTATTTATTTAGAATGTAAATGCATTTTTTCATCAAAATGTTATAAATGCTGATTAGGTTCCCAGACCAGTCTACAAAGACTGTTTAAAATACAGCTGGCCTGAAATACATAGTTAGATTTCTCAAACAGGGGCCATTATAACCCTGGGATTATAGACTGTGATAGAGAATACACAAAGCTCCAAGAAAAATAAGTGACATTTTCAGAACATCAATCTTATTCAGCAATAAGCTTTAAAAGAATAATTTTTTACATGAAAGCAAGCTGGAATATCACAAAAAGGTAAAATTCAGATAAAGAATGAGTCTTCAAAGAAAATCTGCACTTGTGGACTGTCCCAGGTAGAAGGGATGCATACCCATCCCAGGCCAGCTTGCTGGGTTCTGCATGGCTCTGGCTCTAAGGAAAAGTCTGGGGGAGCTTGGGAACACACAGGTGACAATGAAGTGAGGAGAGCCTCTAATAGTAGGATTCAGAGAAGAGCTGTTGAGAGCCTTTTCAGAAGCCCTCTCATTAAACATTTTTTGTTTTTGGTGCTGGGGATTGAACCCAGGGGCCTTGTACATGCAAGTCAAGCACTCAGTCAACTGAGCTATAGCCCAACCCACTGAAAAGATTTTTATGTAAGCTGTGAGCTCCTGCCTTCTAGAGCTCCGGTCTTAAGTCTCACACATACCACTTCCCCATAGGATGCAGCAGCAGATTAACCTTTCATGAAATTACGAAAAACACAAAATGTCTGAAAACGTAATATGTTGCTATGCTAAATATTTCTAATTTCTTCCACCACCACCTTTTTTATTTTATTTTTTTAAGAGAAATTTTTTTTAATATTTAGTTTTTAGTTTTCAGTGACACAACATCTTTATTTTATTTTTATGTGGTGCTGAGGATCAAACCCAGTGCCCCACACATGCCAGGCGAGAACGCTACCGCTTGAGCCACATCCCCAGCCCATCTTTTTTATTTTTGATGGCAATGGAACCCAGGGCCTCCCACATGCTGAGCACACACTCTTTCACTGAGCTATACCCTCAGCTCCTAAATGCATTTTTCTTTCTAGAATTTTTACAAAAGTATTCCAAAATTTTCCTTGTCTTTTTCCATATCTAACACAAAAATGGGAAACAAAGGTGATAAATGTACTTAATGTGGAAGGCCACGCAGGGGCAGCCGAAGTGAACAACGAACAAGCCATTTAAACTATGGGTATCCCTTAATATCCCTCTTGGCCAAATTGACAATACTAAGCGGTTTTTAGGGACTAATATATACAGGAGTAGGAAAAATTTAGAACCTGCCCTCTGAGAACCTAGTGCTTTAATTCATTCAAAATATTCATTCCAGAAACAAAGAGCTAATAGGAGCAAGGCGAACAGGGTGGGCATGGGAGGCACTGGCACCAGCTCAGAAGCGATAGCAAGAAAGCTTCAGCCTTCCATGCCTTAGTCATTCCAGCTGTTGCACAAAAGCAATTTATTGCGATTGTTTTCAATTACCTGAGGTACTAATTGAAGAGATGAACATAAATCACTTGTAAAAGCTCAAGCTTTACCAGCTGAAAGCAAATTGCCCCTTTCCACAGAGCATGTCTTACTCATTTGGTGGCAAAACAAAAGCCTCTGTTGTCCATCACTATCCATACACCTGCGAGCAATCACTGCAGGGGAGCCCAAAGGGCCCCCTCAGAGGGCCGACAGCCTACACTCAGACACAGAGCAATCAAACCATCCTCAAAGCATGGTTCTTAAAATAGACACCAGCACATTCAGAGTCCTGGAGATATCACTCAGGCCTTTTCAACCTGGAAATGAGTAACTTAGGTTTTTTACCAGAAAACACTTGGAGAACTTCCAAAGATGCCAAGTCTGAATCGGCATGATTAAAGCAGATGCTATATTCCTGCAGAATCATGATTAGAGACGAAGCATCTACAAAGTTCTAAAACACAACAAGCCAAAGCTCTCCTGACACACACACACATCCCAGATGGAGAGCATCAGCAGAACATAAGCAAGCAGCACTACATCAGCAAGCTCTCGACCCACCTGGCAAACATTTCCAGGTCTTTGGCAAAATTTTCTGAAAGAGAAAAAAAGGGATACACTTTAACCACCCTGAGCACAGTCTCATTTCAGGAGAAGGGGGATGTGGATGCTGCACCGTACTGCCAGTGATTAACACAGGGAACCCTTTTAAAGAGGAGTGGAGGCATTTCAGGCAGCCCCATCATTTGGTAACAGCCCTTAGCTTTTATTTATTTATTTATGTATGTTGTAGTTGGACCCAATACCTTTATTTCATTCACTTATTTTTATGTGGTGCTGAGGATCGAACCCAAGGCCCCGAGCCTGCTAGGCAAGCAGCTCTACTGAGCCACAATCCCAGCCCCACAGCCCTTAGCTTTTTTAATCATGATGACCTCCTTGTCCTTCTCACAGCCTCCACCCTTTATTATAAGCCTTCCATTAATTATGACTCCACCTTTAGTTTCTAGAAACTATAGGAACTATACTTTAATATTAAATTCTGCAACAGGTTAGGGCTTGTGAGGGCACTAATTTCCTCTAAAGTTAAGCAAGTACCAATACCACAAATTCAGCTGTCAAAACACGTGATATAAAAATGTTATAAAGCATTGAAATAAAAAATTTAATGTCTAATGTTCTAGCCATCAGGGCAGTTTAAAAGATAATAAAAAAGGCGTTAATACTTTAGTGTTGGTGCAATAGGAAAAAAACTCTAACAGTTCTTCCCATAAAATGTCCAAATCTCACAGCCAGGAAAAGTTTTTCATGAAGAATGTGACGATGATGACATCCTCCGTGTGTGGGTAAGAGACACCACAGTCCCACCCGCACACTGCTCCCAGGCAGACCAACCTACGGGATAGATAGACACAGAGAGGAAGACCCTGGCTTCATACCGCACTGTCGAAAAGTTAACTCTGAAATTGCTGCAATGGTTTGTTTGCTGAACTGCATCTCTTTGTCCGAGGTGACTTCCTCACAAAGACAACCCACCGTGTAGTGAACAGCAGCTTTTAGCCTCTGGAAGAAAGAAAAAAAAAAAAAAATCAAAATACTTTGCAGGGGAGGGGGGAATGAGTTTACAAATAAGAGCTTTCCACACCTTTAAGAATTAAGACCAGCTGGGCCGGGACTGGGGTTGTGGCTCAGTGATAGAGGGTTCGCCCAGCACGTGCAAAGCCCTGGGTTTGATCCTCAGCACCACATATAAATAAATAAAATAAAGGTATTGTTGGGCTGGGGATGTGGCTCAAGCGGTAGCGCGCTCGCTGGCATGCGTGCAGCCCGGGTTTGATCCTCAGCACCACATACAAAGATGTGTCCGCCGAAAACTAAAAAATAAATATTAAAAAAAAATTTGTCTGTCTCTCTCTCTCTCTCTCTCTCTCTCCCCCCTCCTCTCTCTCAAAAAATAAAATAAAGGTATTGTGTCCAACTACAACTAAAAGATAAATATTAAAAAAAAAAAAAAAGACCATCCGGGTGCAGTGGTATATGCCTACAATCCCAGCTACTTGCGAGGGTGAGGTAAGATGATCAAAAAGTTCAAGGCCAGCCTCAGCAACTTAGCAAGACTCTGCTCAAAATAAAAAATAAAGGTCTGGGGACATAGCTCAGTGGTAGAGCACCCTGGGTTCAATCCCAAGTACCAAAAAAGTAAAAATAATAATAATAAACAATAAATAAGCTGGGTGTACTAGCACACATCTGTAATCCCAGCAGCTCAGGAGGCTGAGACAGGTGGATGATGAGTTCAAAACCAGCCTCAGCAACTTAGCAAGGCCCTAAACAACTCCGTGAGATCCTGTCTCTAAATAAAATTAAAAAATGGGCTGGAGATGTGACTCAGTGGTTACGTACTACTGGGTTCAATCCCTGGTACCAAAATTAAATAAATAAATAAGACCAAGAAGATCTGCTCAGCCTAATTTCTTCAGCACTTTCCATAATGGCTGAGTAACTCTTCACGTGTCCTAATCAATTAATGAGATCTTCTGGAGTATGACTTGTAGAAACATTACTTTCAGCTATTGTAATAACTTATGTCACGTAAAAATAAGGAATTACGACGGCAGATCAGTAGGAGATGTCAGACTGGTACTTGCCAAGTATCAGCAAACCTTCCCTCAGTTATTCCACAACTATCAGCCAGTTACTTGCAGTGTGCTACGTATTGAGAAACACAATGACAAACCAAGTCAGAGACTGTGCCCTTTAGGCAGTTAATTGAGTAAAGACAGAAGGAAATCATGCCTCTGCTTCAAGTCCCTGGCAGGGCTAGGCCTATATGAAACAGGATAAAAGTAGAGAACACGGGGAAAGACAGGTAAGGGCACATCTGACCCCCTTTTGAGTAGCAGGTTTGTACCACCTCAACAGCCTTCACTGTTCCTTTGCAAATTACCTCCACACACTTTTTTTTTTTGCAGTTCTAGGGAACAAACCCAGAGCCTTATGCATGCACAAGAGCTCCACCACTGAGCTACACCCCCCAGCCCTCAGCAACCCTTGAAGACACCGAAAACTATTCCTTCCTCATGCAGAGGAATAAAGTACCAAGAAAAACCTCAAAGCAGAGCAAAACAAGCTTAGCAATGGCCTGGGATGAAGTCAACAAACTTTTGTTAAGCCTATCTGTGAGTCATCTATCTCTGCAGAAGACACAGATGAAGTGGACTTGGAACCCAAGAGAGCACTATCCACCAGCAAGTATTCATTGTACATGCAAATGAAAAGGAACTGCAAAACCACAAGTCCAGTTTGTTGTCAGATAAAGGACAAAAAGAAAATGGCAAAGGAGCCACTGCTGCTGCTGCCACCAGCACAGCCCTGCCAGACCTGTCCTGCCCACCACACCGTCCTGGGACTTGTTCCAATAATCTGTTAAAACATGGTGAATTATATGAAGTTCTAGGCATGCAGAGGCATGCCTCACCCGAAGATATCAAAAAGGCATATCAGAAACAGGCACTAAAGTGGCATCCAGATACAAATCCTCAAAATAATGCAGAAGCACAGAGAAAATTCAAACAAGTAGCCAAGGCACATGAGGTGTTATCAGATGCTAAAGCATGACATCTATGACAAGCATGGCAAAGAAGGATTAACTGCTGAAGGAGGAGGTGGAAGTCATTTTGACAGTCCGGAACCCAGATGATATCTGCAGGGAATTTTTTGGTGGAAGGGACCCATTTTCATTTGACTTCTTTGAAGACCCATTTGAAGACTTTTTTGGGAATCAAAAGGGTCCCCAAGGAAGCAGAAACCAAGGTGCAGGCTTGTTTTTCTCGCTTTCAGTGGATTTCCATCATTTCGAGGTGGATTTTCTTCATTGGGTCACTAGGTCACAGTGGCCTCATTACATTTTCTTCTACATGATTTGGTGGCAGTAGGATGGGCAACTTCAAATCTATAGCAACTTCTACTGAAATTGTTCTAGTGGCAGAAAATAATTTCAGTTTGTTTTTAAGTATTTAGTAACGTAATGAAAATCATTACAAAGAGAATTATTGAGAAGGTAAAGAAAGTAGAAGTTGAGATGGCCAGTAAAAGTCTTTAGTGATAAATGGCAAGGAGCAGCTACTATGCTTGGATAACAAGTAATTCCACACATGCATTAAACAGACATGTTAAACTATAACAAGCACCATTTGAGGGGTAACAAGAACATTTTTTAAAAAATTTAAACAAACTTGACTTTCAGTATAATTGTGCCTAAAGTATTTATAAACAGCTCATTGGAGCTCCTACTTGTCATAGACTTTGAGTTTATTTTTGGGATCACACAATAGGACCATGTTTTTTTGTCTTTAAAATTGTTGTAATTTCCATATGCACTTTGCTTTTGTATAAAATATAACACAATGTGAGCTTGACTTTGAGTACTGCTAGGCCAAGATGCATTCTAACACCAGCACAGGTCTGCTCTCCATGTGTCCAACAGGTGAGCCAAGCAGTGCCGCCCGAAGTGAGCTAACACTGCCAGGGTACACCTCCCACAGAAATGATTCCACTTAAAAAAGCAACTATAGGGACATAGTCACATCAATGTTTAGAGCAGCACAATTCACAATAGCTAAATTGTGGAGCCAACCTAGATGCCCTTCAATAGATGAATGGATTAAAAAAATGTGGCATATATACACAATGGAATATTACTCAGCAATAAAAGAGAATAAAATCATGGCATCTGCAGGTAAATGGATAGAGCTGGAGAAGACAATGCTAAGTGAAGTTAGCCAATCCCAAAAAACCAAATGCCGAATGTTTTCTCTAATATAAGGAGGCTGATTCATAGTGGGGTAGGGAGGGGGAGCGTGGGAGGAAGAGATGAACTCTAGGTAGGGCAGAGGGGTGGGAGGGAAAGGGAGGGGGCAGGGGGTTAGAAATGATGGTGGAATGTAATGGTCTTCATTATCCAAAGTACATGAATGAAGTCATAAATTGGTGTGAATATACTTTGTACAGCATCAGAGATATGAAAAATGTGCTCTATATGTGTAATATGAATTGTAATGCATTCTGCTGTCATATATAGATTTAAAAAATTAACAAAAAAAGATATAATTTGTTTTTTAAAGTATTTAGTAGTGAAAGATATTAATGCATTAATGGTAATACATTTCTGGTTTAATATAAATTTAAGGATGTTTTCCAGTTGTGCATGAATGCAGACAACTTTTAAGTTTTAGCAATTGTTTAAATATGTAATGTTAAGCCTTGGTTTAAAAAGTTGGTAAACTGGGTCTTTGTCATTTGCTTAAAAAAAAAAAAAAAAAGGGTTCAGTAAGGAAAAAACATGGTGCATGTCTATGATCCCAGAGACAGGAGACTGAAACAGGAGGATCCCAAGATGGAGGTCAGCCTTAGAAAGACCCAATCTCATAAAATAAGAAGGGCTGGGGACGAAGCTCAGTGCTATGGGGTTCAATCTTCAGTACCCACCCCCACACACACAAAAGATATTTGGAACAAATGGGGATATGGGAATATGTACTGGATGCTTGATAACAGAATTTTATCAATATTGAACTTCCTAAATGTGATAATTTATTGAGATAATGTAAGAGAACACCTTGCTCCTGTGAGATGTGTATTCAATTATTAATATTTAAAGGACCGTTGCTGGAGTTACAGTTCAGTGGCAGAGCGATTGCCTAGCATGTGTGAGGCCCTGGGTAGAACCTCGGCACCACATAAAATTAAATGTATAAAAAAACACATAATATTTTTTTTAAAAAAAGGGGCTCTCTGTAACTATTCTCAAATAATTCAGAACAAAACGATTATGGGGTCTTTTCCCCTAACCCATAGTTCTGGGGATTGAACCCAGGGCCTTAGGCATGCTAGGCAATTGCTCTTCGGTCCTCTAAGCAAGGTCAGGCCTGGTTAGTGCTTGGGATGGGAGACCACCGGGGAACACCGGTTGCTGTCAGCTTTAAAAAAAAAAAAAAAAAAAAAAAAAAAGACGCAGCGCAAGGTCATAAATAGAGCAAAATGCTAACAAGCAATGAATGGAGAAGAGTCACCTGGGTGTTCCTGGCACGAGTTTTGCAACCCTTCTGATGGTTACACGCAAAAAAGAGGGAGGGCAGAGGGCGGAGGAAACTCGACACTGCGAAGGAACACAGGGAGGAAACGTCCAGCGCGCGCTTCGGTCAGTCCGCTCTGGGGCTGCCTGCCACTCAGGGTCCCTTCCCGGGACAGTGATGTTCTCATGACTCTGCACCCTGCAATCCCTGTGCCGCTGAAAGGAACGCCAGCACGCTCGATATCACCCCAGAGGGGTCACTCCTACTCGGATTTCGCCATAGAGCACACTGCGCTTGGGCCAAGGTCAACACAAACGCGAGCCGGGGAGCCGAGACCAGAGCCCAGGTCCACCTGACGCGGTGGCCAGGTCTGAGTCCCGCCTGCCGCGCTGCCCGGATTCCCATTAGCGCCGGCGCCCAGCCTCCGACCGCGAACGACAAGGCGAGGCCGCGGATCTGAACCGAAGCCAGCCCCGCGCGCGCCTCGCTGCCCGGGAATCCGCCGTCGAGCGCCGCCGCGCGGGTCCCAGCCGCATTACTTCGGGAACTGCCTCCCAGAACCGCCCGCGCCGGCAGGTCCGGCGCATGCGCAGATACGAGCGGCAGCCGACCACTGGGGCGCGAACCCCCAGAAATGAAACGAGGCCTCGAGGTCTTTTCCTCTTTCATGAGCTCGACGCCGTGCTTGCCCAGCCCGGCCCCGGTTTATGCTGTACCTGCTGGTAAGAGAATCGCTGTTGCTCCTCGGCCTCCGCCTCCTCCTCCATCACGCGGACCAGCTCAGGAAGACGCTCAAAGGCAGAAAGAGGCAGTGGCCCAGACGGTCCGGTCAGATTTTTCCCGCCGCAGCGACGGGCGACGGGCCGCGCCGGGGGTCAAAGCGCGAAACTTTTCTCTGTCCTGCGCACGCCCCCTGGCGGCGACTCCGGGACGGGGTCTTGGCGGCCTTCTCCATCCCCCTTCTTCGGGAAGGTGGCCCAGCGACGGCGGGGACGTGATTGCTGAGGTCGCTCCTGCACCACAGACCCTGACCCGGCACGAGCTTAATACCCTGGTTTTCGCAAAAATGTGTGTATATTGGTACAAAGTTCGTTATAATAAATCGTACGAGCAAAAGGGAGGGGTGGGCCCACAATTAACAAATTACGAACCGCAGTACTCTGTGAACTTCGTACCCGTGTAACTGTGTGTACCTTGCAAAATCCACCATGAGTGTTCACAGTTCAGTCAGCATCAATAGTGTCACAAAATCACTGCACAATCACTACCGATTCAGCGAGTGAGCGGCTTACCCCACGCCATCCACAAAGGAGCAATTCTGTCGCCAGTGTTGATGCCTCCAAGCCAGTGGCTCACGCTCTGGAGGCTGAAGCAGGAGGGTGGCAAGTTCAAGGCCAGCCTCAGCAATTTAGGGAGACCCAGTCTCAAATTCCTCAAAGGGCTGGAGATGTAGCTCTGTGGGAGAGCCTGTGGCTAACATGGGGAAGGCCCAGGGTTCCATCCCCAGCTCAGCAAAAAGAAAACAAAACAGGCAAGTGACAGAGTGAAACCCAGGACTGAATCTTTACTCCTTTCAACCTTTCTTCAGTTATTTTCTTCCTTCCCAACTTCTGTTTTTCAGGGCTTCACTCATACCTTAGTGATGTGAGCAAAGAAGTTTGCTAAGTCAGACAATACTCAAATAGGAGAACTTTAATTTTTTTGTTCGCTTCACAATGTAAGACAACAAACATGTTGTCACATTTAATCTGCACTGTGAGCATTTCCTCCACCACACTCCATGTGTGTTTTACTGAAGTAGAATAAGAAAAAACAGGTAGGAAGGAGACATAAAGGAAGGACAAGGAAGTAAGATTTTAATTCAGAAACTCCACCTACTTTTCCAGGCCTGTCACTTTCTTTTTTTTTTTTTTAATTCTTAAGTTTTAGGTGGACACGATATCTTTATTTTACATTTATGTGGTGCTGAGGATCCAACCCAGTGCCTCCTGCATGCTAGACATGCACTGTACCTCTGAGCCACAACCCCAGCCCTGAGGCCTATCACTTTCTAAGCCAGTCTGTCTTCCAAGCCGTTTATTTCCATATTCCTGGAAAATACGTATACCTACCTAGGCACTATTAATTAAGCCCCCAATAAACAAAGAGAGATACAATATTTTGAGAAACCTATAATTTAGGAGACTTTCCAGTACTATCTACTGATCAGGTAATGAAGACCACATCTGCCTGGAAGTCCAAGATTGACCAGCCCAACAGAAACCGCCCTGAGGCCACCAGACCGCTATCATTCCTACATACCTCTCCATACCCCTCAGACCTGCCTCTTACTAAGTTTTCTTTAAGTGAAGAGCCGGGAACCCCAAGACCACATCTTTCACCCTCCAGATGGCCACATTTTTGCTTGAATGTGTTTCTACCTTCTTAAATAGATCTCTATTTGCTCTGACTGGCACGTGCTGAAATTCTTTTCCGTCATGCCAGGTCTTGAGTGGAGTTCCCCCTTCTCTCTGGGGGACACCTCTTCTCCCATGTCAATACAGGAGTGGAACCCAGAGCCTCATGCATGCTAGACAGGTGCTCTACTACTGAGCCACATCCCCAGCCCTTTTAATTTTTTATTTTGAGACAGGGTCTTGCTAAGGCTAACCCTCCTTCTGCCTTGGCCTCCTGAGTAGCTGAGATTGCAGATGTGAGCCACGGCACACAGCCAGTATGTACTACTTTTTTTTTTTTTTTGAATGTAGGGTTGCTTAACCACTGAGCCACATCCCCAGCCCTTCTAATTTTTAATTTTGAGACAGGATCTTGCTAAGTTGCTGTGACTGGCCTTGAACTTGGAATTCTCATGCCTCAGACTCTCGAATGGCTGGGATTCCACGTGTGCACCACCACGCCCAGCACCATGTATTATATTACTCTTTTTTTTTAATATTTATTTTTTAGTTTTAAGTGGACACCATATCTTTATTTTTTATTTTTATGTGGTTTTGAGGATCCAACCCAGCGCCCCGTGCATGCCAGGGGAGGGCGCTACCGCTTGAGCCACATCCCCAGCCCACCATGTATTACTCTTACAATTAAAGACACGCACCTAAGCTGCTACTTATCTTCCTTTTCCAGGGAAGTCCCCCCAGACCCCCCAAGTGTATGGAGGGATAAGACCCAGAACTTCTGTGGTGGAATAAACCTTCTGAGCAACTTCTGACGCATCTGACCGGTGGGTGGCATCCCAAGAGTTCGGGTGGCTCTGGCCTCTTGCCACTGCTCCCTGGGGGTCCTAGCCTACTGGGATGGTCTTCCATCCGATGCAGGGCAGGCCTCAGCAGGGGCTTCTGTCCTTTTGTGGCCACCCTCCTCCCTAGCTCCCTCCAGGCCCTGTCCTGCAACAGCAAAGAAGGCAGAACCGTGGTGAGCAGTCCCACTCCAGACCCTTCCGCAGCCTGGTGACCCTGAGCAGGCCACAGAGCTCCCCCAGCCTGGGGTGCCTCGTTCGGACAACGTGGGAAGTTCTGCCTTCGCAGAGCTGTCCTGAGGTCTGGATGAGGCGATTGCCTCCCGTGGGGGACAGGATTCATGACCATCATTCTGATGACATGTGTGGAGGGCTACTCAGAGACGAGAGGGTCTGGGGCAAGGTTCAGGGCTGAGTGCTGCCCTGCAGAAAGTGGCTGAACTTGGTGGAACCTGTTGGTCTTGGTGCAGCCGTAGCTATTTGGTCGGCCACTAGATGTCACCACTGCTCCATACCAGGAACAAGGTCGCGGCCACCAGCTTAGAATATCATAATTCACATCCAGTGGGCACTTTGCACCTGTGTGGTTCAAGGCACTCCTTTTCTGTCTCATCTGTCCTCAAAGATAGAAACATAGCCCTGCTTTACACGAGGAGACAGCCCCAGGGTGAGAGAACTTTGCCTGGGATTAAACTGCTCGGACTTGGTGGAGCCAGATTTGACACTGAACAACCAGGGCTCTGTGTCCTCGATCTTACCTTCTGCTCTCCTCTCACTGCTCACACTGTAAATAAGATAAGGACATTTGCAGATTGCTTGAATTATTCTAAGCTGCATTAAATAGAATACCATGTATATTTTTTTGGCGGGGGGTGCTACCAAGGATTGAACTCAGGGCCACTCAACCACTTAGCCACATCCCTATTTTTTTTTTCATCTTTCATACATTTGATTCAAGTGGGTTATGAACTCCCTTTTTTACCCCAAATACAAATTGCAGAATCACATCAGTTACACATTCACATTTTTACATAATGCCATATTTGTGACTGTTGTATTCTGCTGCCTTTCCTATCCCCTACTATCCCCCCTCCCCTCCCCTCCCATCTCCCCTCTCTACCTCATCTGTTGTTGTTCAGTTCTCTCCCTTGTTTCCCCCGCCCCTTTCCCCTCACAACCTCTTATATGTCATTTCGTATAACATTGAGGGTTTCCTTCCGTTTCCATGCAATTTCCCTTCTCTCTCCCTTTCCCTCCCACCACTCGTCTCTGTTTAATGTTAATCTTTTCCTCATGCTCTTCCTCCCTGCTCAGTTCTTAGTTGCTCTCCTTAAATCAAAGAAGACATTTGACATTTGTTTTTTAAGGATTGGCTAGCTTCACTTAGCATAATCTGCTCTAATGCCATCCATTTCCCTGCAAATTCCTTGATTTGTCATTTTTTAGTGCTGCGTAATACTCCATTGTGTATAAATGCCACATTTTTTTAATCCATTCATCTATTGAATGGCATCTAGGTTGGTTCCACAGTCTAGCTATTGTGAATTGTGCTGCTATGATCATTGATGTGGCAGTATCCCTATAGTACGCTCTTTTAAGGTCCTCAGGGAATAGTCCGAGAAGGGCGATAGCTGGGTCAAATGGTGGTTCCATTCCCAGCTTTCCCAGGAATCTCCATACTGCTTTCCATATTGGCTGCACCAATTTGCAGTCCCACCAGCAATGTACAAGTGTGCCCTTTTCCCCACATCCTCGCCAGCACTTGTTGTTGTTTGACTTCATAATGGCTGCCAATCTTACTGGAGTGAGATGGTATCTTAGGGTGGTTTTGATTTGCATTTCTCTGACTGCTAGAGATGGTGAGCATTTTTTCATGTACTTATTGATTGATTGTATGTCCTCCTCTGAGAAGTGTCTGTTCAGGTCCTTGGCCCATTTGTTGATTGGGTTATTTGTTATCTTATTGTTTAATTTTTTGAGTTCTTTGTATACTCTGGATATTAGGGCTCTATCTGAAGTGTGAGGAGTAAAAATTAGTTCCCATTAGAGTTTTTAATTTGGTTTATGGTTTCCTGCATTTCTAGGATTACTGTTTGTTTTTTTTTTTTTTTTAATCTCTATCTCCTGGTAAAGCTCGTTCTTTGCAGTTTGAATTTGTTTGTTTAATTCGTTTTCAAAATATACTTTCATTGCTTGGACTTGCTGTGTCATGTCTTCTCTAATATTCCGTTCCATCTGAGTTAGGTATGCCTTGAGTTCTTTCCCTGTCCATGTTTCTGATGCTTCTAGGTCCTCCTGTAGATTTAAGTTGTCCTGCATTGTTTGTAATCCTTTTTTCCCTTGTTTTTTCATGTTGTTCACGTTACTTTCCAGCTCTGTTTGACTGCTGTGTAACTGCTTTCTCCTATAAATTTGTTTTGGTTTTGTATATCTCTGTTGTCTCTCCTTTGTGGTGGGAGATTATGCCTAGAAATGTTGGGCTTTATTGTACTTTAAAGCTGATTCATTCAATTCATAAAAGGCGTCTGGGTTCTGTATGCATATAGTGATTTGTTGTTTGTTCTTAGGACTTTATGTTTAGGTTAGGTGCTATGATGGTATGAGGGTTAGTATGTCTTGGCTACTTTAGTAGATTGCTCTACTGAAGGGGGATACTAACAGGCAATTGGATCAGGGTGTTGGTAGTAGCTAGGTATTTAGGAGCCCTATAGACAGCCTTGAGACA